GCAAAAGAACAAGTTGAGGCCAATCGATGACTACAAAGAAAACCAAGTGAACAGTGCTTACTCGTCCATGGAGAAGGCCAGCTTGTGTGCTATGGATCATTTGGTTTGGGCGGTTGCCACGTTGCAGAGATTGTACCGCACTGGAGGCGAATTCGAATTTGCGCTCTCCACCGGGGAGAGGCTGGCTGGTTTCGTCCATGAAGATTGGCTTTCTGTGACACAAGATTTCAAGGTCACTGCGCTGGACTTAAAGTCGGCGTACAAGCAGCTTCCTTTGAGTCCACTCGACTATGACAAGGCGGTGGTGTCGCTATGGGACCCTGCAGCTGGAGATGTCAGATGCTTCGTTACCAAAACACTCCCCTTCGGGGCTGCAGGCAGCGTTCACAATTTCTTGCGGGTCAGCGAGTTCCTGCAGGCCGCAGGGTGCGAGCTCGGAATTCTATGGGCTAGCTACTTTGACGACTTCCCAGTTGTTTCCCACCAGCTGCACATTGCTTCAACGATGGCTAGCGCAAAGGGCCTCTTTTCGCTGTTTGGATTTGCATTTGCTGAAGACAAGTTGGAGCCGTTTGGAGACTCTGCTGAAGTGCTCGGGGTGGTTTTCGACCTGACATGCAGCGCCGGTGGACGCACCTTGATCAGGAATAAACCTTCGCGAGTGAATGAGCTCAAGCGCGCCATAGACGGCATACTTGACGATGGTTTCATTGTTCCGGCAAAGTTGCCCTCGATTCTGGGAAAGCTGCAATACGCCGATTCTCATGTGTGGGGACGCGCTGGCCGATGTGCATTGGCAGACTTGCGTGAGATGGGACATGCGTCGCTTGACAAGAAAATGCTGGATCCAACCATGGTGTCGGCTTTGAATATTTTGAAGGGCAGGCTATGCTCGGGCCGACCCAAAATGTTTGATGCGGATGATGTGCAAAAACCATTCCTTCTTTTCACGGACGGAGCCTTGGAGTATGAAGGAGGATCGGCTAGAGCAACCATAGGGGCCGTCCTCTTGGCCCCCTCCGGGAAAGTCGAGGTTTTTGGCAGCTTGGTCCCGTCAGCCATGATTGAAAAGTGGCAGGCCAAAGGGAAGTCGCATGTCATTGGACTGGTCGAGCTATATGCTTGCGTGGTGGCAACGCTTCACTGGAAACACATGGTGGATACAAAGCGCTTGATCCTTTTTGTCGACAACTGGCCTGCCCTGGATGTGCTCGTCAAAGGTACATCTTTTCAAGCGGATTGGCGAGACCTGTTGCTATTGCTTGAAGACCCGGAGGAGGACCTTTTCTTGCTGTGGATTGCCCGCGTGCCGTCGTCATCGAATGTCTCAGACCACCCCAGTCGCGGTTCCCTTGGCCCTCTGGAATTCCTTCGCCCCTTTCAGGTTGCGCAGCCTGTGTGCCCGGTGACGAAACTAAAGCTTGAAGCGATTGTGCAATGCTGAAGCGGACAGGGGAAATGATATGTATGAGATATGCATCTCGAAGAAATGCATTCTTGGATATGCCTCCAAGATACATGGAACTGTGCAAGAGATAACCCCTCGTCTGCCGAGCGAGAAAAGAACAAGCTTCCGTTTTCGTATGACGTGCTCACCCCCCCCTTTTGGGGTTCAGATGCAACTGTTTGAAACCTGTTAAGGTTTTTTTTTTGTTTCTACCCCTAAGGAACCTTAGGGGTCGCATGGTCTGCACGAGAGTTTTCATGGCAGTTTAGGATCACAGATACCTTCTCGGCCTATGGCTATGATGCAATAGGTGATACGCAAGGATGTAGGGATAGTGCCTGTTTATAAGGTTGCAGTTAGACTTGTCTAATAGCTGTTTATAAACTAGGCACTACAGCCTTGGAACCAAGGCGTCCCGGGACAGCTGCCGTGTGTGTGCCTAACATGTCGAGGAGTTTGTGCTGAAACTTTGATTTGCTAATATGCCTCAACTCTGACAAGAGTGCGTGGTGCGAAGTTTTTAATTTTGACACTATGCGTGACTCGTGCATTTAAATTTTGAACGTGGGCCCCTCGGCCTTCTGGAATGTGGGGTGCATTTGTTTCTTGAAGTACAAATGCTGCAAACCATGAAGTGATCAGGATGATTTGAAAATTATATGTTTCGCCCCGCCGTCTCAAGATGCAGGGTAGGGTTGGGTGGGTGCGCCTTTGGTAGGTGCATACTAGATGTTTTCTTCCCTCCCATTTCTTGCAGAACCCGCCCGGCATGATATGTGTGCCATCATTTGAGACATGGGGAAATGATATGTATGAGATATGCATCTCGAAGAAATGCATTCTTGGATATGCCTCCAAGATACATGGAACTGTGCAAGAGATAACCCCTCGTCTGCCGAGCGAGAAAAGAACAAGCTTCCGTTTTCGTATGACGTGCTCACCCCCCCCTTTTGGGGTTCAGATGCAACTGTTTGAAACCTGTTAAGGTTTTTTTTTTTGTTTCTACCCCTAAGGAACCTTAGGGGTCGCATGGTCTGCACGAGAGTTTTCATGGCAGTTTAGGATCACAGATACCTTCTCGGCCTATGGCTATGATGCAATAGGTGATACGCAAGGATGTAGGGATAGTGCCTGTTTATAAGTTTTCCCCAAACAGCGAAGCATTGGGGTTCTAATTTGAGGTATAGAGAATGGGAAAGTGTGACGCCGGTTCCGGGGTCCTGTTTTCCACTTGTCTTCCTGTCTCCCAGTCTCTCCGGTCAGATGCCAGATGCCCTCCCAATCTCTGCGGTCAGATGTCAGATGCTGCGCTGGCTCCGGGGTTGTGTCTCCCGCTTGTCTCCCTCAGTTTCTGTGGTCAGAGGCCAGATGCCGCGACGCCGGCTCCGGGGTCGTCTCCCGCTTGTCTGTCTCTACGGTCAGATGCCAGATGCTGTGACGCCGGCTCCGGGGTCGTGTCTCCCACTTCTCCCTCTCCCTGTGTCTCCCAGTCTGGTCGCAGTATATTCCCGAAAGCATGGCGAAGGGTTCTTCCACTGGAATCACTTGAGTTGTTCTCATGAGAGTCATTGCAGGGTGTCATTGCAAGGAGTCATCATCATGAGTCATTGCAAGGAGTCATCATGCAAGGAGTCATTATCATGAGAGTCACCATCATGAGAGTCACCATCATGAGAGTCATCATCATGAGTGTCATCATCATGAGAGTCATCATCATGAGAGTCATTGCAAGTGCAGGTGGCAAGTGCAAGGAGTCATGAGAGTCATTGCAAGCTCGCGCGACCCTCTTTGGGGATCGGCGTGGTCGAGGTGCAAAAACTCGAGTTGTTTTTGCGATTTTGTTTTGGCTCGCGCGACCCTCTGCGGGGATCGGCCTGGTCGAGGTGCAAAACACCTCCAGTTTTTTGGTGTTTTCTGCGGTGCTCGCGCGACCCTCTGCCGGGATCGGCGTGGTCGAGCTGCAGGCGCTCGAGGTTTTTTTTTTTTGCGTTTTCTGCGGTGCTCGCGCGACGAGTTGTCTCGTGGCTCGCGCGCCTGCTCCCGGGACCGGCGGGTCGCGGGGTCGATGCCCCCCTATCCCCCCTGGTGCGCGGGCGGGCTTCGCAAGCGCAAGCCGTAACTCTCAAGCACAAGTAGTGTGCGAAGTCCACTCCCCGCAGCTGGAGCTTGAAAATCGCAAGTTTTAAGTGTGAAAGTAGTACGGGAAGTGCACTCTTACAGCTCCGGCTGGAAAATCGCAACTTGCCCAAAGAAACTTGCGCAGGGCACTCGCGGGCAGCGATGTGGAGACTTGCACAGAGCAACTTGCGCAGAGCACTTGCGCAATGACACTTGCGCAGAGAGACTTGCGCAGAGTAACTTGTGCAGAACACTTGCACAGGCCACGGGCCAACAGCAAAATCTGCGACATGCCCTTTCCCCATTGCTAAACATTTTTGCAAGTCGTTCCTTCTGGCTTCGAATCTATGTTTCTAGCTGGATTGCTTTTGATGCTTCTCAATTGCGCTTGCGCTGCTGCCACATGAGCCGAAGGGAGCCGAAGGGAGCCGAACGCCGGGTACTGGATGCCAAGCAAGCCAGGTCAGCCTCAAAACTAAATAATTCCCCCCTTCATTTTTAATGTTGAGGGCTGTAAGCAGGAAAACAGCCAGCTGGCAGCAAGCAAGGTTGTCACCCCCCTCTTGAATTACCTCTCCACATTTGCTCATGTACTACCTCCGCCTTTTGAGATAGAATGAAATTTAAATGCTGTCCTGCGCAAATAGAACTTTAAATGCAACTGATTCAGCTAGAATCCCTGTTTCGAAATAGTTTTAGAATTTGAACTTCTCTTCCCTTGAAGTTTCCTTTTGGAACACCGTCTAACAAGTTTAGTTGCGGACCTTTCTTTTGCTGCAAGAGGGCCAGGATATAAACAACACAGTTCGAATTTCGAATTTCCTTGTAGAAGTCCCTTAAATGTTTAGCCATATTTAATACGAACTAAATTTTGAGAAGTAGTCTCTATTTAGTTATTGTTATTATTATTATGAAAAGCTAAGCTAATTGAGCTGTGTTCGTGTTAGATTGTGTCTAACACTTAGAATATATTTGGGAATCAACTCCTAACTTCTTTTGTTCAAGATTAGTTGGAGTTTGCCCGAAACTATACTTATATTCGCATGTAGCTCCTATTTGGAAAGGTTTTGCGTATATAAGCTGTAGTTGAGCAATGTTGAGCATAAACACATGTTTGAAAACTATATCCTAACCAAATTATACTCACAATTCCAATTCTAGTTGAAGTAAAATCCTATTTAAACAAAAACAAACATCATATTGGATCTTGCCATGATGGACTGCAAGCCCATTCGTCTGTGCTTAAAATCTATTGCACAAATTCTAAACTCTACAGCCTGCGCGCTGAAATCAACCAAAACCTAGGCACCAAGGGGGGCGTTGCATATATATATATATGTACATATATATATATATATATACATATATTTGTACATTTATATATTTATCCCTTTATGAAGGGAAAAGCATGGATTGGACACATTGAGCCGGCCAGGCCGAGTTCGTTGAGCTCTGCGCACGTGCTGGCCGCCAGGCCCGGAGGGTCGCCTCCCGACTCGAGACTCCCTCGACTCGGGACTCGGCTCTGTTGCGACCTCGCGTCAACGCGTCAACGCGTTTCAGACGCGTTTCAGACGTTTTCTACGCGCGCCGATGGGCAATGAACCGCACCGGAACGGTTCCTTCGCGGTCTAGTGATCTCGCTTTTTCTTCTTTACAACCCTGCTTCCGAATTTGTGACGTTTCTTTTTATAGTTGTGGAATAACAAACGAGATTTCGATCAGGGTTCCGAAGAAGACAATGAAGAGATAACAAACACACACCACTGTGACACTACTTCGCACGCACAGGCTGTTGAGCCAGCTTTGCAACAATGCAACAGCACTTTGGTGACAGATCTTTCACGCAAGCGCTGGTCAAGAAGCAGGAAACAAGGATGTCAACCAAGCAAGCTATTTTCATTTCGTGTGTGCAAAAGCTCCACAAGCGGCTCTGAATCTTGGCCGCGCAGCTGGACGATTGAAGCTGTTTGCTCCCAAATGTACTGACGTGATATTTCTGGTTGCACGGATGTCACAGTGCTTTGGGACATGCAACTTATTTTAAGGATGAGGCAGGGGAGAGTTTCATTCTAATGAGCTTGCCAGATTGGCTGCCGAAACCCCTCCCAACAAGCATTGCATCAGCGCTGCACACATGGCTTCAATGTTTTGAAGCAGCATTGTTGACGCTTGACTTTGGACTCCTCCCGATATATTTTCTTTGGTTCTCTGGATGAGATTGGTGTGCGCCTTTTATTCTCCAAACTTGGACCCAAAGTAGGAGTCAGACACCTTTCGTCCCTTGGCCCAGTTTGGCAATCCAGCAATCCAGCAATCCAGGCCTGCGAGCAGGGCCAGTACCGTGAAGCCATTCGCTTACTGCACCTGGGAAGGCACGGAAAAGCACCCAGTTTCCAAGGTCGAGGTCGGCGACATGCACAGCTACTATGCATGGATGGACAGAAACAGACGAATGGATAGAGGGAGGAAGGAAAAGATGGATGGATGGATGGATGGATGGATGGATGGATGGAAGGAAGGAAGGAAGGAAGGAAGGAAGGAAGGAAGAGAGGAAGGGAGGAAGGGAGGAAGGGAGGAAGGAAGGAAGGGATGTCTGGATGCATGGATGCATGGAGATGCATGGATGCATGGGTGCATGGAGATGCATGGATGCGTGGAGACGCATAGTTGGGTGGAGATGCATGGTTGCGTGGAGATGCATGGATGCGTGAAGATGCATGGGTGCATTGATGCATGGTTGCATGTCGTCATCAATCCATTCATGGATGCCTTATCAGATACCCCCTTGTTTGGCTGCAAAGAATGCATGCGCATCAATTCCTCCATTGCCAGCTGATATCACCATCCGAAATCCAGCTTTTCACGAGTGGATGGACCACTACTGTCTGGATGCAATGAGTTGTCTTCCAATGGCTATAATTTGAGTTATGATGGTACTCGCACCTGCTGCTCCTTAAGCAATACTTCCATCAGAAAGTCTTGTGGAGGTGTATCGTGACAACATTAAGGAGGCCACCTTCTGAAACAAAAGCAGGCTATGTATAGACATCAAGCTAAGCCCCTGTAAGTCCCGCTGCCATTTTCCTGAATTTATTCAATCTTTTGCGGGTTGCATGCCAGTCCGATTTGCTCAGTGCAGTGGGCCATATTCCTTTTCGTAGGTGTCACAGCGAAGTGCTGCAGGCTGGGTGGGCAGATGATCTCTCTCTTTTGGTTTGGTTGAAAACAAGTGTTTGCTTCGCATCACTTTGTTTGGGTGTCACTTTTTGGCATTTCTTGTTTCATCCTGGAGAAGTGTCTTGCGCGCAGCATACCCAAACTTGTCGACGAGTGACATGTACAAATAAAGTGAAACGAGCCCGCCAGGTCCTGTGCCGTTGTCTACGGCTACCGATCTGGCGTGAGCAGGCGAGCCGCGACGGGAGTTGCGAGTTCGACCAATTTTGGCTGGTGATCCTCAGGACTCGCAGGGCGAGGCAATGAACCTGGCGCAGGACAGCCCCGCTGAATGTTCAGACTTATCATTGACTTGTCTTTTGGATGTGTTCCCTCAGCAAACTGCAAAGAGTGCAATTCGCTACTGTCTGAAACAGCCAAACTCAACAAAGTGGTAATTCACAATGGAGGGCGAGTTCTCGATGAGAGACTGCAGGATATTCAGCGTTTCTTCGACATCTATGAGCGCAATCTTGACCGATACGCTCTCTCGTCACAGGCAGGGGACAGACTTTTAGTTTTTGCTTGTAGGAAAGGGGCGAAGGCAGGCAGTTTGTAATGTACTCCGAGCTTTGTATATCACCGGTGGTTGTTGCATTTTGCTTGCTGGAGTTGCTTGCGTCAATCAATGCCAGCAAGCGTGCAGTGTTTCGAGCGGAGTGCTAAAGTGAACCGGCCGTTCAAGTGTCCTAGCCGTGTGAGTCTTGGCCGAGGTATGGGCCATTGCACGGAAGCTCTATGCTGCGCGCATGTTCCATAGCTTTTGTGACCGAGGCCTGGACCAGGACCTCATGAACACACCGATGCCTAGGGTCGAGCGAAGAAATGGCCCCAATCTCCAGGGGTAGCTTCACTGGACAGCCACAATGTGACACAACCTAATACATGACTTGCAGTCTGAACGTTGATATGCACAGCTGGCTCCTGCGAACAAGCACATATCCGGCAACCTTCTGTGTTGGTCAGGCAACCTGTGCAGGGCTCGTTGATTGCAAGTTCACATGTGCGGTATTCGAGGCAGATCAAGCCATAGACTTCAGAGTGGGATCAGCATGTCCTCCCTAAATGTTCGCCTCTGTAGGCCAGCCGGAAGCAGCGCTGGATGTGTTCGACCGGGAGCAGCTGCTCGCGTTGGGATCTGATTCGCTTGAGGCCAGTTTGTAAAATTCAGGGGACAACCGCATTAAACAGTTTCTCAGTTTGGTGCAAGTCTTGGATTGATGGATTTCTTTCGCTTTTGTGGGAGAGTGGTGCTCTTGGGCTGCGCTTCGTAGGCATCCGAGGAGATTTGGGCCGAGTACCCTCGGATTGCAACTTGGACAGAAAATGAAAGGTGGTCGAGAAGCCTTTTGATGTGTGCGAATCAGTCCTGGCACCTCCGGGCAGTGTGAGGGCAGATTATGGTCATTGTGGTGGTGCTTCATCCAACGTGCCAGCGTGCGTGGAGGTCAGGCTTGCTTGCTTGTTGAGCTTAAGGTTTCAGACTACATCCGCGTTCTGAGTCACGCTGCACGCGGGGCAATGCCAACCTACGCGCTGCAGGACTGACTTGGGCCGGAAGGGAATGGCCAAACAGCATTTCGCAAACATTGATTGGATTACCGGTAGTTCTTTTACCTTGCTCATTCCCTGCAGATATTGAATCTTTCCAGATGTACTTGAAGAGCATCTTTAAGGAACGCCACGGCACCTCCAGCTTCGCCTCATATCATGTTCATTGGCGAACATAAGTCAGTTTTTGTTCTGAGGTTTGCCTGTGGCTCATTGGTTTCCAATTTTAACGCCTCCGGCTCAAACCGCCGACATTGCAGGCCTGCTTTCCCCCCTGAACATCTTTCCCCGCTTTCCCCCTAAGATCTTTCCCCCCTTAGTGATGTTGCACTGGAGATGCTAAGGATGCAAAAGCGGACCCAGGGGGATTGTGTCCCCCAGCTCGTATGAAAGGATTTATTCTACGAAAAGGGAACATCTTGGGCCTGGTACGCCGCAAGTCCGAAACCGTGCCCTGGGGAGAGGCAAGGAGCATTTCTTACGTCCAACACGACGTCTGGTGTCGGCGGATAAGCTCAGCAGCAAACTTGATGGCTAGATGGGGTTGCGGCTTGTCCAAGTCGCCTTACCATGTAAGGCTTGCTTAAAGCTGAATCCTTCACATCAGGTTTTTGGGTTGAACCAGTGCCGCAAAGCCGTGCGGCAAGGAGCGCTTGCGACAGCTTCAGTGTTTCCTGGCACGCTACAACCGGCTGGTGCTGGACCAGGACCCTTGACCTAGGCCATGACAAGACCCAATGGCCCAATAGTCAGCCTGTGCAATTTAGAGGTAGAGAAAGTCTTAGGGGAAGACTTGAGCGTTTTTTGGACCCTTCTAACTGCGCTGACAAGGCAACAAAGTATTGATGGACCCCTTTTTCCTGCATCCTTGATCGCCTTTTTGTTCCAGGAGACACATGCTGCACTCGCAAAGCTTGCGCCACCTGGCATTGAGTGATGATTTCCATTGGCTCTGAAAGTTTTGCTTGCAAGCTGGGTTTGCTTCTGTGTATCACTGGTGGGTGTAAGTGCCACGCTGAGCATCAACAGAGTGTTGCAACACCACCACTTGCAGACATTTCCAGACATCTAGAACAATTGCGAGACCGATGATGCCTAAGCTGCTTGCTGGTGCAGGGCTTGAACCTTGCTGATTTGACTTGACTTCCATATCAGCCGCTGGCGCAACCGTAGTGGCAAGTTCCAGTCGTCGAAGGATCCAGAGGCACGTTGAGGCCTTTCAGTCCGTACCCTTGGACACTCAGGTTATGTTGCTGAAGCAGAAGCTGCAAAGCCGGCAGAGCAAGTGGAGAGCCGCGCTTGGAACAAGGGGGCGAAAGCAGACATTGTGCCAGTTCCACAAATCAGTCTGTTCTTTCACCGCACTCAGCTAAAAAATAAGTCACACTGAACGACGCTGTTTTGGAGCCACGTTTCCGGTTTGGGAGGGGGGTGCGGTATATATGCAGTGAGAGGCTTGATGTGGTAGTGTAAGGCTGGGTTGGCCATCACCTCATTCTAATGGGTCTCTCTCTCTCTCTCTGTCTCTCTCCCTCTCTCTCTGTCGCTCTCTGTCTCTCTTTGTCTCTCTCTGTCTCTCTCTGTCTCTCTCTGTCTCTCTCTGTCTCTCTCTGTCTCTCTCTGTCTCTCTCTGTCTCTCTCTGTCTCTCTCTCTCTCTCTCTCTCTCTCTCTCTGTCTCTCTCTGTCTCTCTCTGTCTCTCTCTGTCTCTCTCTGTCTCTCTCTGTCTCTCTCTGTCTCTCTCTGTCTCTCTCTGTCTCTCTCGAACTGCATATTTGTATTCAAGCGTCTTGGCTCAATCCTGACAATCATGCAACAAGATGAGCGTCTCTTTGACCATGGCGCAGCCGGCCACCAGGCCACCAGCCGAACAATCGGAACATATCAGAACGCTGGCAACTGAGCATTGAGAAGCGTGATGCATGGAGGGAGTGCACAGCCTGGGTCCCAGTGCCGAAATCAATTGGAGCGAGTGCAGACTCAAACTAAGCATCAGTAATTTACTGGTTGATCTGTGACTCAGCCGATGCTTGATGCCCTACCATTCAACTTGTGCACACAAATTAATCCCAACATTGATTTTGTCTGTCTATAAATCACAATATGAAAGCGGGACAGACCTGCGCTGCAGCACGCACCAATTTGTGCAGGTGCTTCAATGCCGAGTGACGGTTGGGAATATCATTTGTCAGCCTTTGAGATTATTGATCATTCTCACTTGGGAGTTTTGTCGCATAACGAAAGCTCCCGCTTGCGGCCGATGTTGACCAGAGGTTTCCTATCTGCCTTCTTGAGTCATTGCGATGGCAGGCGTACCCCAGACTGGAGTAGTTGATGAAGACGATGACGATGTCGAGCCCTTTGAGGAATGAATGCCCTTGCGCGGATCACATTCTGGCCATGTAGCAAATGGTCTTGAACTCTTGTTTTGGATAGACTTCCAAGCGCCCAAGATGGGAAGTATGCCACTGGGCCTGAACCCCTCGCTGTTTGCCAGGAACCCGAACACACAGACGGAGCTGTCGCTCAGGGAGAACTGTCAGACGGAGCGGACGTGGACGAGGCACTTGGAATGCTGCGTGGCGTGAGGAATTCCGCTTCAATCATGCCTGATTGTGGTCACCCCGACCGAAAAGTGTGCACACGTGGTAGAGATGTGGGCGATGGTGATCAGTTAGTGGTGTGTGGCAAAAAGGTCCGCTATGCCGCGCTCGCAGATCTAAGTGAGGTACTCATGCGATTGTCCTCATGTTCTAGCCAGAAAGATAATGGGATTGGCATGCTACTTCCACTTCCAAATGTGGATGCAACCATCATTGCGCACAATCATGCCCAGAACCACTTGCATCAAGCTGAGCGTGGGCGCCTTGATGCTCCTTGTCGCTTTTGGTGACAGTTTGAAGCTCGAGCTGTTTGTGCAGGTTGAGTCAGCAAACGAATTGCCAAGATCGGCTTTGATCATGGATGGTTGACAGGGATGCTGAAGGATGCCCAGGGAAGCTCAACGGGAGGTTTTTTGTATTTTTTGTTTTTCTTCTCGCTCTTGGCTTCTTGGCTTCTTGGCTTTTTGGCTTCTTGGCTTTTGGCTTCTTGGCTTCTTGGCTTCTTGGCTTTTTGGCTTCTTGGCTTCTTGGCTTTTCGGCTTCTTGGCTTCCTTCTCAGCTTCTGGGCTTTTCGGCTTCTTGGCTTTGGCCTTTCGCATCCTCTGCATTCCCAGATCCTCTTCGGCAGGTGGCATTTTGGCTTTTGCGGCTTTTCGCTGGTTTATGCGGCCAAAAGCTTTTTGCATCCTCTGCTTTCCCAGTTCCTGTCCGTGCTTTTTGGCTTTTGCACCCTTTCATCGGTTTTTGGATGTGGCTTCCCGCATCATCAGCATCACCAGTTCCTCCCTATTTGAATCATCACTTCTTCGAACATCATGGGGGGGGAAGCCCCCCCGGCAACCCACCCGCTACTGTTTAGATTGCTTGCAGAGTAATTGCACCCCTATTTGAATCAACACTCCTTCAAACATCATGGGGGGGGGGTGCCGCCTCCCCCCCGCTACTTTTTGGATTTATCTTGCAGAGATTGAATTGCACCCCTAGTTCAATCATCACTTTTCGAGCGTCCAATTTCGCGAGAAAATGCTGCAAAATACGACATTTTAGGTATTCTGTGTAATCCATGTATGTCTGTATGTATGCACTTCTTCGAACATCATAGGGGAAGCCACCCCCGCCAACCCTCCCGCTGCCTTTTAAATTCTATCGCACCCTTTCTTGAATCATTGCACCCCTACTTGAATCATCACTTCTTCAGACATCATGGGGGGCGCGGCAGCCCCCCCCCCCCCACGCTACGTTTTAGATTTTCTACAGAGATTTAACTAATTGCACCCCTAGTTGAATCATCAATTCTTCGAACAGCTGCCGCCCCCCCCAACCCGCCCGCTACTTTTTAGACTTTTTGCAGATATTCAAATCCTCGCTTCTGCAACACACGATCATGGGGGGGGGCTGCCGCCCCCCCCAACCCCCCCGCTACTTTTTTTTTTAACAGGGATTGAAATGCCCTCCTATTTGAATCATCATTTTTTGGACCCTATCCTGCCAGCTACTTTTTTGATTTTGTTACCCACGATTTGTTGGTGATGCTAGGGATGTTGGTCGGACATGCGGGGGATGTTGAAAAATGCTGGGAATGTTGACGGGCTTGTGTAAAATGCGTCAATTTCGAGAATATGCTGTAAAATACGACATTTTACTGGCCCGGACGAAAAAAATAATAATAAAAACAATAATAATTCCGCACCCAGCTCAATGTATGTTTTGACCAACATTTTTCGCAGGCACGGAACATAGACTGTTCCGAAGGTCTGAGTTTGACAGCCGCTTGAGATTTGCGACACGGACTTATGACATCTGAGCTGCAATGCCAGGCCGCGGCGCCTGAAGTTGACGTCAGGGGGCTTAGCTGCTAGGTCGGCTGGCCCTCCAAATTTCTCGGGACCAAGCATCCGTTTTGTTTCGAAGAACATGGGGAAATGAACAGTTGCATTGATTTCAGTGCCTGCTCCATATCACAACCTTGAAGAAAATTCTTCCAACACAAGCCACAAGCAGCTTTTGGCGTGTTGGTGAGAGTCTTTTATCAGCAAGATATCGCCGTGCTGTGATGCATCAGTGAAACTCAGTGATCTAACCATGCTGCTTGTTGAATGACAGGCATTTACACCAAAGAATTAGGCGATAGGAGCGCAGCTTTGCCGTGCCATCTCTGGCTATGTCCATTGCGTTCACAAAGTGCTGCTTGGACCGCAGGTGAAGCTCGATGGTGCTTCAGAGGTGCGATTGATTACAAGGAAATGCAATCATGATCAGTCCATGCCTAAAGTGTGTTTCCCTTGCTGCCAGCTTGTGCCTGGTCAGCAATTAGGTAGTCAAACTTTTGGCTGTGAGATGCTCCAGCTGCGAGACCACTGCTTCCAGCGACTGCTGGTGCACACATTTAAAGTTAGAAGCAAGCGTTGCCAGCATGCGCTGTGAAGTTCTCAGCCTCGAGTGTGTGAGCCTTTTTCAGTTTGCCCACAGAGCCACAACCTCGCACACTTCTGTTGCCCGTTTTGGTCCGAGGGATTTCTTTAGCCATTTGGTCTTTGTACATGTGCTCGAGATACTCGAGCGATGCCATGGAGTGAGAAAAGGGCGGCAAGTGAACTTGCTGGACTTTGGGGACCTCCGGGAGCTCTTACGCTCCAACGTTGGTAGCGGAGCCCGGCTCCAACGTTGGTAGCGGAGCCCGGCGAGCCGGGCTTGGAGATCAGGGAAGAGAGACCACCTCCCAGAACATAGCCGCCATGCAGGCAAAGGAGTTCTACGTGACGTGGGACGGAGATCCGGCCACTTGGGACGACTACGCACGAAAAGTGCGACTGCAATGGGAAAAGGCTCCCTCCTGGAAACGACGTCATGTTGAACCTGAATTGGCATCCCGCCTGACTGGGAGAGCGTGGGCCGTGACCTACAAGCTTTCGCACGAGAAGCTGAGCAAGAAGAACGCGCCAAGTATTTGCTTTGTTTTTGTTATCTTCAAGACCGACTATGTCGGGCTCCAGTTCCTGACGCAGGAGCTCGGCTTGAAGATCTTCTCATCAGGTTGAGAAGACCGTTGGGGAGGACCATGAGTCAATGGTCGAACGAGGTGCAGGAGGCGTATCGCAAGGTGCAGAGAGCTCTGGTCAGAGCTCGCAAGATGGAGCCGAAGAAAGACCTCATGAAGGCGATCTTGGAGAAGAGTACTTCGTCCACGTCTGAACCACATGGAGAACCTCGAGGCGGTGTTGGCTCTCAAGGAGTTCGCACACCCTGGTGATCTCAGCCTCGGGAACGGCGACGCGGACCAGGACTCCAGTTCAAGAAGGTGAACCTGTCGACGAAGAAGAAGTCGCTCGTGATCCACATGAAGCTGAACAAGCCGAAGAGTGGAAAGATGAAGAATGGGAAGATGGGAGGAAGTTCTTGAAATGGAGGCAACAGGGCGTGCGAAGAGCCATCAAGGAGAAGCGGTGATGACATGTCTTCGGGCGAAGATCTGCCTTGGGATGAGCTTGAGGTGGAGGATGTTCAGGTGCTACCTGATGAAGCTCTAGGGTGGCTCATGCTGAGACGAGCCAATCTGAGCTCGTCATCACGCTTGAGTGTGCAGGCGTCAGTGCAGAACTCGCTCTCCTTCCGGGCCATTGAGCGCTGCAAGATCAAGAAGAGGACAGCAACAACGAAGAAGGAGGGTCGAGGAGGAAGGCGCGTGGGGTTTGCTAATGACTCCGGACGATGCCGTGGAAGAGCGGGGGTTGGAGATCGGCTACTACTGCTGAAGCATATCCTCAAGCTACTGACAAGCACATCAACGACCATGTCTACTGGTCCTGGGATGCGGCGTGGATACGGTTATTGGGTGGAGACGGACGGCTATGGTGCGTGCTGGTCGGCTGATCCCCTCCAACGTCGCAGAAGGATCTGGACGACGCCTATGCGGCCTTCGAGGAGAAGGCCCGGGCCTTCATGCAGAGCAAGACCTTCCAGAAGGCAAAGGGTTGTTTTTTTTTATTCCTTTGGCAAGGGCAAGGGGAAAAAGGGCAAGCCCAGAAACAATGTCGGGACAAGGTTACGGTGGTTGGAGGGGTGCATCAAGCTCGAGTGCCATGGCGGTGAATGGCTATTCAGGTTGCTTCATCTTTGGAATCAAGCGGATCAGGGCCGAGCGCTGGAAACGGGAAGAGCATTGTCTCTGCTCCTTTCGTGATGAATGGACAGAGCTACATGATCATGGAGCGCGAGGAGGAGAAGGTTTTCGTGAGAGGCGCGGACATGATGATGGAAGATCCTGAGCGGCCAGGAGGAGTTGTTCGGGAGATGGCCGGTTTCGGGGTGCTGGACATCGGTGCCACCGAGACGGTCGGCGGTTGAAAAGCCATGCCAGCTGCAAGGGCCGCGTCACGCCGAGCAGATAAGGGTGATTCCTCACGGACAGAAATCCTTCCGGTTCGGCAACAAGCAGGTGCAACGCGCAGAGAGCCACATCCTGGTGCCGCAGCAGATTTGTCAACACTGATTGCAGTTTAAAATCTTCACGCTCGACGTGGGCCAGATCCCCATCCTCAGTGGAGTGAAGACACTGGCCAGCTGCGCGATCTTGGATGTGGCAGGCCAGTGGATGGTTTTGAGCCGTGTTTGTCTTGTCCTTTGAGGCGAAGTGCCGCAGGGCATTTGCTTGTAGATTTGACGAGAGATGGGATGGTGAGCGGCAAGCCCTTGCCCGATGTACAGACACCCGAACCTGTTCTGCGCATCACGGATTCAACCGAGTCAGCACACATGCTGGGGGTGAGTCAGTGAATTTGTATGCGTCTGAAGTCATGGTGGAGATGGAGGGCAAGTTCAGGTGGAATGTGAAAGTGATGGAAATCAGGTGTTGCAGGCTGGAACTCAGTTGAGTGATCCGATCAGCAATTTGGATCAAGAGATGCGGAGTCGCACCCTTCACACCCTGACTTGAGACAGCCCATGGCCACAAAGAAGAATCATGGCAAGACCAAGGGCAAGGTGACAAACATGGTGCTGGTACGATGCTGCGAGAGTGCAAGGTCCCGATATCCAGGACGAGAGATGTGTGGGGGGCACCATGCTTCGGAGCCCACAACCAGTATGCGATTTGGACCGGGGAATCAGGATGGGTTGACGAGAAAGGCCGGACGTCAAGTCAGATCTGGCCAAGAAGGAGGGTCCGAAAAAGCTCAGAGCACGGTCAAGCTGAAGGATGCGCGCATTGGGCTGGACGGAGCCGAGTAGAGCCTGATGAACCAGACAAGATGTCCGCTACGCCAAGGCCAAGGAGACGGCGGAGAACCTGGAGTATAAAGTTTGCCCGGAGTGATGATGGAAGAGGAAGAGGCCTTGGTAGACTTCGATAACGTTAACGTTCGAGGGCGTTGACGAGCCACCAGACACGAACTACCACGAGGTGATGGTCGGCATGACCGATCAGGACAAGCAGATGGCGAATGAGCAGTGCAACCGCCACCTCGCGTGGAACGTGATGGGCGTTGGGGAGAATAAGACGGGCGTGAAGGTGGTGGAGTTGTGGCTGCGAGGAGAACAGTGGCCTAGGTCAGGCAGTAGAAGCCATCATCCGGTGCGGCCTCTTCAACAACTGCGACATCATGAAGCGGGCTGGCTACATGAAGAGCTCATTGAGAAGGAGCGTCCGCGTTGTTTCTTCCATGCGGGGCGACTTCAACTATTCAGGCTCTGAACCGGAATCACGAGTGAAGAGTGACAATTGGCGCGGACGAGCTGCTCGCGGAGTTTCTTTTTTGGAGAAGCAGAAGTTCTGCAGGAACGGCCCAAGGAAAATTAGGGCTAGAGCTTTGCGAGCGTTCGGAATTTCTGGAAGCGCCGACACCGTGAACACCGGTACTTTGAGTCTCAGGTGGATGGATGCGCCTACGGCCTGCTCATGGGCGAGATCATCAATGGATTATCTGCGGAAGCGCTGGAATTCACGTTCACATTTTATTCGGTGAGGCTGTGTCAGCGGACTGCCCATGTGATGATGATGGGCATCGACCTGGGACAAGAACAGGGAGGTGGACGCAGTTATGCCGGCAGAGGCAGAGGTTAATCTGGGTTGGTTTGGAAAGGCTGCCTGATCAGGAATTGGCAAGACGGGTCAAGACCTGGTGCAATTACACAGACGACTGGGAACAAGCTCTACCGCGGACGCTGCAGGATCAAGGAGTGTCCCGCCAGCTGCTCGTGATTTCCAAGAACATGGTCTGCGAAGCCTGTCAAGAAGCCCACGTGCCATCTGCGAAGCACCAACTACGATCAAGTCTGCAAACAAGCTCCGCAGGTGATGCGAACTGACAACCTCATGATCACCGCGGGAGATGAAGTCTATCACTTTCAACTGATGATGGATGAGGCAAGTTCCTACACCGTCGGCGGAACGGTGACATCCTAAAAAATCTACGTGAAGCGGCATGGGCGGTTACTGCTCACAACGGACTGGCTCGTGTGGGAGGATACTCTCCACAACAATGGGAACTTCACCGATGCAGATCGGCTTCACGATCGGCGATCTACCCTTTTGGTCATCAGTGAGTTCTGACGAGCGGATGCGGAGGACTCTGGAGATCAGGATGCAGGCTGAGACAAGCTACCGGAAGGCGACGGTGGAGGACAAAATCTTACGGGCCCGGAATTCACAGTCCTAGCCCGGGGATTTGGTCTTCTACAGGAGGTTTCAACAGCCTGCGGACGCTCGGAGTCATGCCAGATGCTCCTCAATTGCGACTGAGAATCTTGGCTCTACAGACAGAGGTGACCTTTGCAGGAGAGATCCGACAACCCTATGAGCTGGCGGCTGGCTTGCGAGCTGTCGCCAACAGCTACTTGGTGGAGCAGCAAGATGTAGCGTGCGTGCGTCCGTGCGTGCGGTGCGGTGCGGCGCGGTGCGGCGCGGTGCCGGCGCGCGGTGGCGGCGCGTGGTGCGGCGCGGTGCGGTGCGGTGCGTGGGGGGGGCAATCTGCTGAATTTGGTGTCTGGCAAGCAAGTGGCTCCTGTGACCCCTGTGTTCAGGTTCAAACATTGTGGAAGTGACATTGATGCGTCCCATTCACGGCAACCTTTAGTAAACGGCGAAAGATTGGTGCGCTATGAAGTGAACGCTGTGATAGTTGGGCTGGTGCGGTTCATGCGTGTTGCTTCAATCAAAGGAGCAAGAGTGCTGCTGTTGGGCAGCCAAGCGCCCCGCGACCGTAGGGAGCGGGAAAAAAAGGGGGTTGGTTTCAAGAGGGATGAAAACCTTCAAAATGGACCAAAGTTGAAGTTTTTTAAAATTTCAAAAATCTTCATTTGTGGGGAAAAAATCTTTTTTGACCGAAACAAGTCCAGCACAGACCAACACAGAAAGCAGTTTCAAAGCACTATCATTGTAAAAGCACAGAGAAAATGTAGAAAGGCTTTCAAAGTGTGGACCAAAGCTTCCAAAATATTGAAAAACCAGTGACACATTTGCAAAACTTGTGCTTTTGCACGGCTTGGAATGGAACATCTGCAAAGGTTACACCCTGCAATGTTTGTACTTTACTTGTTGTCTTGTTACTTGTGCCTGTCTTTTTTCTTCTTTCTTTTCTTTCTGTTGTAAGCTTCTCTGCTTCTTTCTTTTTGCTCTTCTTGTTTGCTCTCTACAAACACAAACCCGTTTTCTCAGGTGTTCTCCTTTCTTTGTTGCTCCTTGCTTCTTCTTCCTTTCTTTCTAGGGCATGAAAACCTTCAAAAACAAGTTTTTAATATTTTTTGAGGAAAACTTTTCTGACCAAAATGAGTTTATGGAAAAACAGAAAGCAGTTTTAAAGCAGTTTTATGGTAAAAGACACTCAGAAAATGCAAACTTCTAGCTTGCACACATTTGCAACACCTGTACTTTTGCACATTTAAGAATGGGACACGTGCAAACATGGCGTTCTGCACTTTTTGCACTTTGCTTGTAAGGTGTTACCTTGCTTTTTGTCTCCTTTCTTCTTTCTTTTTGCTCTTTCTCTTTCTGCTTGCTTCTGCTTTCTTCTTGCTTCTTCTTCTTTCTTCTTGCTTGTTCCTTCTTCTTGCTTCTTGCCTGCTTCCTTCTGCTTCTTTTTTCTTGTCTTCCTGCTTGCTTGCTTCAGCTTCTTGTTCCCCTGCTTCTAACTTCTTGTTCCTGCCACTTGCTTCCTTGACTGCCTTCTTGTTCTTCTTTCTCCCGCCCTCTTCCCTTCTTGCTGCCTCAACCTTGCAAGCGTGTCATTGCAACACCATTTGCATCCGCTTTTCTCTGTTCTTCTTGTCTTCTTGTGTTTTCTTTTTTCAATTGGTTGCAACAAAAGAGGACTGCCCAAATTCTAACTGCACTTCTTCACCCTGGAACCCCAGGTTTTAGAAAAAGGTACAATCATCAGTCAAGGGAGATTGAAGCGGGCACATGTGCTTCAGCTCCGACATGCCTCAGAACGTGAGAGGGTCATTGCGGAGGATGGTCAGGTGATTGCGGCGCCCTGGGCTTTTGGCAATGTGGCTGCCGGACTCAACAAGGAAACCTTCGAAGATTTGGTGGAGGACCGAGCTCTCCGCGTCCGCAGAGAACAGAAACCAGATGACGCGAAGATGAAGCGGTGGAAGTTTGGCTTTGCAGATGGAGAGCGTGCGGCGCAGTGCTGAGATCGGCGGTGACGAATCCCACGCCGAGGAGCTTGCGAGAAAGGAGTGAGTAGCTCCAGCGGCACGACAAGGTCGTGAAGAGCAGATGGATGAAGAGGAGGAGTTCTTCCGAGAGATCTTTGGGGATGACAAGGATATCGATGGTAGTCGTTTGGTGGAGGATGCGGACTACCTGCCGATGAGAACGATTTTGTCACCTACCGGAGGATCGGCGTTGTCATCAGGTCTGCCGGACCCTGTGCAGAATGGAGGTGAGCTGCTGCGGAATGAATTGTTCCAGCGTGCGAGAAAGCCACATGAGCTGGCAGACAGACCGCAGCGTGTGATAAAAGAGCAACCGTCCTGGACTATCTGACGGAGCGCCAGGAGTTCGAGAACCTAGTGTTCGCGGTGATCCTGCCTCTGCCCAAAGATGAGACGGAGCAGAAAGCCATCGTCAAGGACCCACAGAAGTTCATGGCGAAGAAAGTTGCCAAAGGGTGTCGAGGTGTCTTGGCAAGGAGGCAGAAAGGGGCCGAAATCAACGCAATAATGTGGTGCGGGCTGCAATTGGCCATGTGCCACACGAGAGGCTGATGAAGATACGATGGGTTTTGACCTTCAAGCACGGACCCGAAGAAGGAGCCGTGAAGGCGAAAGCTCGTTTGGTGGTGCTTGGCTACTCCGACCCCGACGCCGGTTACGGAGGAGCAGACAGTTGCTGCTTCAGATGGCTGCGCACCGAGGTTGGCGAGTGACGAAAGCGGACGCCAGAGCTGCTTTCCTTCAAGGTGGAGAGACGCAACTTCAGCGACACGTATTTGGAGGAGCTGGGCGCGGCGATGAGTCTTCCTAAGAGACGTGCGGTTCAGTTCCTCAAGGCGACCTATGGACTCACGGTGGCGCCCCGGGAATGGTTCCTGAAGGGAGGTTGGTTGGCTTGAGCCGGCTGAAGACGGAGCCTGATTTCAGCTCATGTGGATGACTTCCTCATCACCGGGGAGAGTGACCATGAATGAAACCAGACTGGAGACACTCAACTGGAGCCATGGTGGATGGCTGTTGGATCAGGAAGAGTATTGGTCGGGGCTATCCCAAGTGACCCGAGATGGCACAGGCAAGGAGATTGCAGTGAATGCGCGATTGCAAGCACGGGCTGTGCTTGGCAGTTCAATAGCGCATGTGTCAGAGTGGACCTCAGCATGTGGCGAAGCTGAGCCATCTCCAGAGTGTGCTACCCAGAGGAGACAGTGTTGGGCGAACCGCCCTGCGAATCTTCAACCTGAGTCCAAAATTGGAGGACGACCTTGTGGTTGCGGGGTGGTCAGACGCTTGCCAACCGAGTGGACCTTGGGTCTACGAGAGGCCACATGATCGGTATGTGTCACGCAAGCATGCTGAACAGTTCAGGGACCTATGAGTCTCATCAGATGGTCCTCAACAAGATTGAAGAGAGTTTCAAGCCTTGGCGATGTTCATCAGAACTCAGTGGAGCGAGATGAGCGGGTTCCCCTGTGGACCTGACCAAGCCGGAGGAGCGCACCAAGAAGACGAAAGGTGTGCTGGTGGTGGATGCGAAGGCTGCGCGACGGAAAAGTACACCGCGCTTGAACTACTTGGACTGGTGGAGAACATGGGGCGCCAGGATGCTCAGATGCGCTGGTGCGACACTGATGCTCAGCTCGCGGATGGGCTGACGAAGCTGAGCGCGCAGGACAGAGTGCGGAAGTTTCTTCAAGCCGGCAGCTGTGGAACTTGGTGCGCGACGACAAGTTCGTCAGCGCTAAGAAGAAGAAGAAGAAGCAGGCGCTTCTTTGTGGCGAAGGAGAAGGTGAAGACCGTTCCTGGCAAGACCTTGTGGGTAGCCGCTAAGATGAGTCTCTTTCGGCAACAGTCTTTGGGGGATGTGAGGTTCTCAGCGTCGATGTGTGAGCCTTTTTCAGTTTGCCTACAGAGCCACAACCTCGCACACTTGTGTTACCCGTTTTGGTTCGGGGGATCCCTTTAACCGTTTGGTCTTTGTACATGTGCTCGAGATACTCGAGCGATGCCATGGAGTGAGAAATGGGCGGCAAGTGAACTTGCTGGACTTTGGGATATTTGCACAACCCGCGGGAGCTCTTTGGCTCCAACGCGCGCAGCGCGCAACACCAGCAGGCATCGCCAGCAGGCATCAGCATCATTTGCTTCGTCAGTTGCCCTGCAGCATTTGCGCCTTGCGCTGCTTTCAATCACGCATCCTCAGCATCGCTGGGTCAGCTCACTGATGTCACCGAAGCTAGCGCTGCCATCACGAGTGGCGCCCACGCCAGTGCCTTCTTTTGATGTGTACGTGGGAATTGACCAAAAGTTTCTTGTAAGGACTCACATTTAAAAGGCTTATAGTGTCGAAGGCTTGTATGTGCGAAAGCTCCCATGCACTTCGGGAAAGGAACATTTTTTTCGCGAAAAGACGAAGCGTTGGCTTCTTGGATTTGCAGGCCCCCCTTCCTGGTAGGTGGCGAGATGGGCTGCATCCTTGATTCGAGCCTGTTGTGTTTGTCTTCGAATGATGCTTGGCTTGAAAACCGGGCAACTCATATTGTGTCTCCTGTCGTGTTCCAGCTTGTCAAGGCTTTCGGAAGTGGCCAGCTTGTTTGTCTCCCGCCCGCTTGTGGCCGCGGCCTCCCAGCTTAGATGCTTGGTGTAGGTTTTTAGATCGGGCAGGTCGTTTTTTCTTTGATTGTCTCCCAGCTTGGCAATTAACCAACTGCTCTTCGCAACGGCCCAAAGGCTCGCGGTGTCTCCCAAGTCATAGTAATCGTTCGGCATTTAATAGCAGAGGGTTGCAAGTCGCTCGTTTCAACAGGGGCTCAGAGTGCTTAGTCAGTCGTGGTTTGTCCACGCTTCGCGCAGCATTTTGCACCATTACCTCTGTTTGAAAGCAACGCTTGCATGCAGAAACTGGAGGCAAAAACACCGTTTGTTTTGGGCTAGGCCTCGTGGAAAAAGTGGCTCCTTGAGTCCGTGGGCTTCCTTTCAACACCGTGGAGCGGCCTGCGTTTGTAGATGTCCCACGTCGCACTTCTCTGTCTCAATTGCGATGCATCTTTCATTCCATGGCGTCGTGCCAGTTGTTTGTTTCTTTGGCCGTATTTACTGAACAAGAAGGAGCGCTCATCTAGTAGTGCAGCGTGGTGTACATGCATGCCACGGGTCACTTGAGAACGAATGCCAGCCACGAGCACATCAGTGGCACTGGCCTTTCCAGCATTGGCATTGCCTGCTGCTACATGCACCAAAGGCCGAAGTGAGCATTGCCGAACAACTTGTCCGCACGCGTGCGGTTTTGTCCGCGTTGCAGAGCCTCCTTCACCATAGGGCTCCCTTGCAGGTAGCCTGTGCTCTAGCTGCGATGATGTCCGCTGTGGGCGGCCTGCAGAAGTCGTTTCACCCCCCGCAGGCTGGCTGGCGGGTATTGGTGTTTGATTTTGCGTACACTGCAAAAACACATATTATATGTGCAACTTGAACAAACAACTTCTATACACATGTTTGTATGTGTTCAGATCTGTACACACTTGTCTTAGCAAATGGGACTACGCCGAAGCCCAACGAAACGCGCTGACTACGCTAAGTTGGCGTTTGCAGTGTCGGAGACCCATGAGTTTGTGCAGCTGTCAGATTCTGGCGATGGAGACAGTGTCTAAAGTCGGCAAGCGGTCACTATGCCAGGCTGTCCTGCAAGAACCTGGCCAAAGATGCCAGGGCAGAGAGGCAGCTTGGACGGTGGGCTGTTTCAGGAGAGTTCCAAAGCTGGCCCATGCAGGTCGAAGCCGAGGCCGAAGCCCAGGCCGAAGCCCAGGCCGAGGCCGAAGCCAAGGAGCAAGAGAAGGTGCACGTGGGCCTCTGCCCGTTGCTTCAATTTTTGCGTGGTTTTGATGCAACGACTTGGCTGCGCTCGGCCAACTTGCAAACACTCCCAGATGCAGGAACCAGACAATCCCCTTTTCAGCAGCCAAACTTGTCGATTCCGAAGCCAAGCTTTCGTTATTCAGCGAACACATCCCACACAGCAGCAACACAAACCAAGCTTCCTGTCTTCAGCAAAGGTCCGCGCTTTTGCGTCCAAAGCAGCACGAGTCCAAACCGAAGCAAGTTTCGGCAACCACGAGCCCACGGTTCAGCAGCGGCAGCCCCACCATTCAGAATCTGCACAGCTCACGAACCGTTTTCCCTCACTTCCTCTCCCTCCCTCCCTCCCTCCCTCCCTCCCTCTCTCCCCCGCCCCGCCCGGCCCCGCCCCGCCCCGCCCCGCCCTGCCCCGCCCCGCCCCGTGTCGCGTCGCGTCGCGTCGCGTCGCTCCACTCCACTCCACTGCACCCCACTCCACCTACTCCATCCACTCCCTCTCGGTCTCTCTCTTTTTTCTTTTCCTCTACCACCTGCGAACTCTAGCGTACTTTGTTGCAGCTCTCTGCTGTCTCCCTCCTGGCCACATGGCAAATGACAAGCTCCTAGAGCGCGTGCTCAGCACTGCGTGGGCGCAAATTAATGAGGAGCACACCATTGCCTCACAGCAGTGTGCGGAGCGAATCGAGCACCAACAGCAAAAAAGGAAGGAAGGCAATGCAAAGATAAGCGCCACGCAGTTGAGAGAGGAAGCTTTGAGATCGTTTTGTTTGTTCTACCTGATCCTGTGCGGCGCTGGTTTCTGGGTACTGTAGCGGAGAACTGCCGAATCTGCGTTTTTGTTGAAATCACGACGTTGTGACAATAAAGGCTACAGTTTTGATGATCTTGGGTGGTTTCAGAATCAAAACAAATCGACTTTTTGGCTTGCAGCGGCACTTCTTGGTTTTGAGCATTGTGGTTGGCGAATGAGGGGTGTTTGCTTTGCGAACCGAACTGGGACCTTGAGTTCGCTGCCAGTGCCTTTGCCAGGTCCAGGTGTTCGAAGTGGATCAGCCGGGTGGCCTTGCCGATGTCCTTCAGCCGCACCGAGATCACTGGGTACCGTCTCCGTGAGAAATTAGAATCCACAAGGATAGCTCCCCGCTCGCTGCACGTCAGTTTGGAAACTTGAAATGATAGGCCCTAGGCCCGTTCAATGGTAGCCTCGCCCATCGAGCCCGAGTCATCCGAGATCCTCGCGGGGCTCAAAGTGGCCATGAACAACATGCAGACACAGGTGCCCAGTGCGTGTCCAGGGCTTGCTGGAGTCGCTTTGCCGTTTCTCAGAATTCCAACTCGTTGGAAACAGCAGGATCAGCTGTGTGCGGACGAGAGAACTCAGCCAGACTCTCAAGGGGAATGAGCGCCAAGACCAAGCTTTTTGTTTGCTGATTTGGTGTTGCCTCCAGTGTCGTTGTTTGATTGCACATGGGTTTGTTGATGACCTCGGAATTGTAGCCATGCACACATCAATGGCAGTGCCATGTCAGTGCTTGGAATAAGGGCAGGCAAAGCTTTCGTTTCATAGCCAATTCTGTCTGGCTTCCTGTCTGGCCGAAGTCTGACCGGCTGCACGGCTAGGCAAGATGTGCCGATAGAGGAGCTTGAGGAGCCACGCAATCTTGACTTTTCCGTCTCCTGGTGCCAGGGCCCGTTATATTTTCGTGCTTATATTTTCGTTTCACCCGAACGGGTTTCATGTTTGACAGTTTGACCAGGACCGTTTGCTGCTGCAGAAAGTGCTGCTGAAGCAGCTCCGAGCAGACTATGAGGCCAGAGGGACTAACTTTCCGTCTTGCACGACGACCATTGTGTGCCTTGTTGGCGTTCAGATTAGTTGAAGGACTGCTTCAACATTTGTTTTGCATGAGTCGCGATACTCACACAAAAAGTGGCAGTGGAATTGCATCATATTTGGATAAAGGTGTGGCTCGGTTGTTTTGGAACGCCTGTGACTAGCCAGGGCTGGTCCCAACACACAGGCGGCAGCATATTTACCCTGCAACTTGCTACTGGATATTATTTTTTTTTGCATCGGGGTTGCCTTTTTGCTTGGCGGCGTCCGTTGCCGGGCGACAGCCTGCGCGCAATCCACAACAGCAGCAGACGACATCCAACTCAATGGACGACCAAAGTGAGGCCATATGCGGCATGGAACAACAGTAACTGGGGACAAATCCTTCAGCAGTTTTATGTTTGCCTCCCCTGCCATTGCGTGCCATGTTATTCAGGCGAGGCTGGAGCGCAGTTGGAGGCTCAACGCCGCCTGAAGGGATGAAGCAATTCGTCGCCTTCTGTTATTGATTTCTGGGGATTGAGCTCGGCCGGTTTTGCGGTGCTTGGTTGCACAGCTCGGGCCCAGGCAACAGCATGCAGAAGGCCCTCGATGAGTTGGGCACAGATCCCCGAGAGATGCAGGCAGATTCTGAGATAGTCTAGTTCTTTTCCTGAAGGTGCCTGGCAGGTTTGGTCATGCAATTGAGGCGTGTTTAGAAGACATAATTAATGTTGGGGAGAATCCACTGGTTTTTGGCCGTCCTCGCGCGCTGCCGATTATGACCGTTGGGTTGGCGTTTCGTGCAGCTGCGCATTCTGCGGCGGTTGCTTGTTTGGATGGTCTTACCCTTACCGGATTTCGCCCCTTGTGTTGTCTTCCAAGTGTCTTTCCCTGCTTTCGGTGCTGCGTGGATCGCTTGCCTTTGTTGCATTGTTCTTGCCAACGCTGAGTGCCCGGGCCGGTCGTTCCACGAACAAATAGCCGCGTGCCTCTCCCTGCGCCCTGGAAGTGCCAGGTCAAAGTTGTGCGCGCCAAAGATGCTGCTGCCAACCTGTGCAAAGCTGGGGACCAGGCGACTGCCGAGAGGGTGTGGACACAGGCACGTGTTGAGATCTAGACGTGGCACGGCAGCAAGCCTCCGGGAAGGAACAAAAGTGACAGTTGGACAGATCTTTTCCAGAATGATTTGACCTGCTTCCTGACGCGAAAAGGGACCCTGCTACTTTTGATTTGGTTTTGTAGAAGCATCATTTTCCAGGAAGTTTGGCAATACTACGTGAAAAGGGGCCGGGCTACTGTTGAATGGGCGTAGCATCAGGATCATGTTTTTGCCCAGAACCAGCCCTGATTAGCTTCATGTAGTGGATGTTAGTATTTAGGGCAGGGAGGGTTTGGATGTTTTTTTCTTTTTTGGCTGAACCAAACCATTCTTCTTCTTTTTTTCTCAATAAATATGGAAGGTCGCTGATGCTCGGTCTCACCAGGGCAAGTTGCTATTGGCACAACAGCATCAATGGGGCCTCCAGCATGGCATGGGTTCAAGCACTAGGGCTGTGCTAGATAAATATACATAACCCTGGGCTTTGCTTTGAGTGCCGATGTATTCAGGGGTCGTTTACAAATCGAAAGTGAACAAAACCTGAACTCTCCAAGATGTCTGAGGATTGTGATGCAAAGGTGCACGTGCCCGGGTGTTTTGCAAGTTGGGGTGATGCGGCGGCAGAGCAAGTGGGTTTGAAGATGCTGTCGGACGTGATTGTGTGCATGAAGTGAGCAAGCTGGGAATGCTTGCTTGATTGGCCTGTGATGACAACCAAATCAACCTTACCTACTTTTTGCCGAGTGGCCTGGCCATTGCCAGGACGTGAACTCTCCAAGATGTCTGAGGATTGTGATGCAAAGGTGCACGTGCCCGGGTGTTTTGCAAGTTGGGGTGATGCGGCGGCAGAGCAAGTGGGTTTGAAGATGCTGTCGGACGTGATTGTGTGCATGAAGTGAGCAAGCTGGGAATGCTTGCTTGATTGGCCTGTGATGACAACCAAATCAACCTTACCTACTTTTTGCCGAGTGGCCTGGCCATTGCCAGGACGTGAACTCTCCAAGATGTCTGAGGATTGTGATGCAAAGGTGCACGTGCCCGGGTGTTTTGCAAGTTGGGGTGATGCGGCGGCAGAGCAAGTGGGTTTGAAGATGCTGTCGGACGTGATTGTGTGCATGAAGTGAGCAAGCTGGGAATGCTTGCTTGATTGGCCTCTGATGACAACCAAATCAACCTTACCTACTTTTTGCCGAGTGGCCTGGCCATTGCCAGGACGTGAACTCTCCAAGATGTCTGAGGATTGTGATGCAAAGGTGCACGTGCCCGGGTGTTTTGCAAGTTGGGGTGATGCGGCGGCAGAGCAAGTGGGTTTGAAGATGCTGTCGGACGTGATTGTGTGCATGAAGTGAGCAAGCTGGGAATGCTTGCTTGATTGGCCTCTGATGACAACCAAATCAACCTTACCTACTTTTTGCCGAGTGGCCTGGCAATTGCCAGGACGTGAACTCTCCAAGATGTCTGAGGATTGTGATGCAAAGGTGCACGTGCCCGGGTGTTTTGCAAGTTGGGGTGATGCGGCGGCAGAGCAAGTGGGTTTGAAGATGCTGTCGGACGTGATTGTGTGCATGAAGTGAGCAAGCTGGGAATGCTTGCTTGATTGGCCTGTGATGACAACCAAATCAACCTTACCTACTTTGTTCGAGTGGCCCGGCAATTTCCAGGACGTGAACTCTTCAAGATTTCTGAGGATTGTGATGCAAACTGCACATGCGCGGGTGTTTTGCAAGTTGGGGTGATGCGGCGGGGTACCAAGTGGGCTTGAAGATGCGGTCGGATGTTATTGGGTGCATGGAATGAGCAAGCTGGGAATGCTTGCTTGATTGGCCTGTGATGACAACCAAATCAACCTTACCTACTTTTTGCCGAGTGGCCTGGCCATTGCCAGGACGTGAACTCTCCAAGATGTCTGAGGATTGTGATGCAAAGTGCAAACGCGCGGGTGTTTTGCATGTTTCGGTGATGCGGCGGCAGAGCAAGTGGGCTTGAAGTTGCGTTCGGACGTGATTGTGTGCATGAAGTGAGCAAGCTGGGAATGCTTGCTTGATTGGCCTGTGATGACAACCAAATCAACCTTACCTACTTTGTTCGAGTGGCCTGGCAATTGCCAGGACGTGAACTCTCCAAGATGTCTGAGGATTGTGATGCAAAGGTGCACGTGCCCGGGTGTTTTGCAAGTTGGGGTGATGCGGCGGCAGAGCAAGTGGGTTTGAAGATGCTGTCGGATGTGATTGGGTGCATGAAGTGAGCAAGCTGGGAATGCTTGCTTGATTGGCCTGTGATGACAACCAAATCAACCTTACCTACTTTGTTCGAGTGGCCTGGCAATTGCCAGGACGTGAACTTTCGAAGACGTCTGAGGATTGTCATGCAAAGTGCACATGCCCGGGTGTTTTGCAAGTTGGGGTGATGCGGCGGTGTACCAAGTGGGCTTGAAGATGCGGTCGGATGTTATTGGGTGCATGGAATGAGCAAGCTGGGAATGCTTGCTTGATTGGCCTGTGATGACAACCAAATCAACCTTACCTACTTTTTGCCGAGTGGCCCGGCAATTTCCAGGACGTGAACTCTCCAGGATTGTGATGCAAACTGCACATGCGCGGGTGTTTTGCAAGTTGGGGTGATGCGGCGGGGTACCAAGTGGGCTTGAAGATGCGGTCGGATGTTATTGGGTGCATGGAATGAGCAAGCTGGGAATGCTTGCTTGATTGGCCTGTGATGACAACCAAATCAACCTTACCTACTTTTTGCCGAGTGGCCTGGCCATTGCCAGGACGTGAACTCTCCAAGATGTCTGAGGATTGTGATGCAAAGTGCAAACGCGCGGGTGTTTTGCATGTTTCGGTGATGCGGCGGCAGAGCAAGTGGGCTTGAAGTTGCGTTCGGACGTGATTGTGTGCATGAAGTGAGCAAGCTGGGAATGCTTGCTTGATTGGCCTGTGATGACAACCAAATCAACCTTACCTACTTTGTTCGAGTGGCCTGGCAATTGCCAGGACGTGAACTCTCCAAGACCGGGTGTTTTTGCAAGTTGGGATGCTGCGCCGGCCGATCCAGTGGTTTTAAAGATTCTGTCGGACGTGATTGTGTGCATGAAGTGAGGTAGCTGGGAATGCTTGCTTGATTGGCCTGTGATGACAACCAAATCAACCTTACCTACTTTGTTCGAGTGGCCTGGCCATTGCCAGGACGTGAACTTTCCAAGATGTCTGAGGATTGTGATGCAAAGTGCACACGCCCGGGTGTTTTGCAAGTTGGGGTGATGTGCCGGCGGAGCAAGTGGGTTTCAAGATGCGGTCGGATGTTATTGTGTGCATGAAGTGAGCAAGCTGGGAATGCTTGCTTGGTTGGCCTGTGATGACATCCAAATCAACCTTACCTACTTTGTTCGAGCGGCCCGGCAATTGCCAGGACGTGAACTCTTCAAGATTTCTGAGGATTGTGATGCAAAGTGCAAACGCGCGGGTATTTTGCATGTTTCGGTGATGCGGCGCCGGAGCAAGCGGGTTTGAAGATGCTGTCGGACATGATTGTGTGCATGAATTGAGCAAGCTGGGAATGCTTGCTTGATTGGCCTGTGATGACAACCAAATCAACCTTACCTACTTTTTGCCGAGTGGCCTGGCAATTGCCAGGACGTGAACTTTCCAAGATGTCTGAGGATTGTGATGCAAAGTGCAAATGCCCGGGTGTTTTGCAAGTTGGGGTGATGCGGCGGCGTAGCAAGTGGTTTTGAAGATGTTGTCGGACGTGATTGGCTGCGTGAAATGAGCAAGCTGGGAGTACAAGCTTCATTGGCCTGTGATGACAACCAAATCAACCTTACCTACTTTGTTCGAGTGGCCTGGCAATTGCCAGGACGTGAACTCTCCAAGACGTCTGAGGATTGTCATGCAAAGTGCACATGCCCGGGTGTTTTGCAAGTTGGGGTGATGCGGCGGTGGAGCACGTGGGCTTGAAGATGCGGTCGGATGTTATTGGGTGCATGGAATGAGCAAGCTGGGAATGTGCGATGCACCCAAGATCCAATCGCACTGCAGCTGATGTTCACTTTTGAACAGGCGCACACAAGTGAGGTGGTCCTTACCGCCGGAATGCATGCTCGCTGAGCACTCTACTGCCTTGGCAAAAGGGGCCCCTCCGGAGCCGATACATCACAGGTCCCATGCATTGTGGAACTGCTCAAAGGGCCAGGTGTCAAGTGGCCATGCATACATGTGTTCATGACTGTGGTCATCAACTGACCTTGCAGAATTGCACGGATACAAAACTCCCTTCAGTTGATGACCGCTCTCAAAGTCCTCGATGGTCTTCACAGCAGACCGGCCTTGTTCATGACTCCGGCGGGCTGACGTAATAGGCGATTGCCCAAAGACCAGTGGAGAGGTACTTCCGAAGTCCTAACCGGCAGTCTTGCTTCTTCTTTGTGAAGGCATCGCCCAGGTCAAAGTCGCTGGCAACCCAGCGTAACTCGGCGAGAGTCCCGTGCAATGACTCTCTCAACTGCAGAGCTTGAAGAGCGGATCTGGCGTTGCTGAGGCCCAACATCGGAGACTCATTGTACATCACGGCGTCAAAGCCGCCCTTGGAATCTGTAGCCAGGATGCCCTTGACATTGCGCGAGAGCCTTTCGGCCCATGCTACTCGATCTTCTTCAGGACGAAGATCTTGACCTGCTCCATTCATCTCGCTCCACAAGACGCGGATCCTAAAGTTTTGATCCTCGCCTTCCAGAACTGCTTGAACTTCAGCATCATTGGAGCTGATGGCTTTCCTTCTCAACTTCCAGCTGCGCCAGCAGAGTGGCGCCATGAAGGTGACCTTGCCCTCGACGGCTTGTGGCCCAGATGCGGTGGACAGCAGTCCTCCAGTGGAGTCGAGGTTCTCACGATTGGCGTGTGCTTGGTCGCAGAAGGTGATGAAAACCAGGTCTCTCCAGGAGCTGACGCCATCCGGTTTCCTGAATCGCAGCGAGT